GGAGCTTTAAGGTTGCTTCCAACCCAAACCATTCTTTGATTCTATGATCTGCATTTACTAGTCTACTTGAGTACCACAGCAGCAGTGTGATTATGTGTCTCAATGTAAAATGCTTTTAAAAAGACACTGTAGACCAATGTTTTGACTGTTTTGTTGGGGTTTTTTTTTTCTCTTTTTTTGTTTCCTTGCACAGTTAATAAACAGCTTGCTGATAAAGAACGTGTAGCAGCTGCTTTGGAAAACTCTCACTTACTGGAAGTGGTGAATCAGTGTTTGTCTGCTCGATCCTAATTGCCTGATGAGGAAATTACTGGTATTCCACTATGTTAAACTGATTTTGTATATAAGTGCTGATGCTGGTGTTATACTATACATATATGTATGTTCAAAATAAAATTACTTTGATATTCTTAAATGTTTTCTTACTCCTACAAAAAACAGTATGTGGGAAATCAGCTTACAGGCAGTATTTGATTTTTAAATTTAATTATTCATTGCATTCTTTAGAAAGATTTGTTTCAACCTGGTCTATCTAGTTTCTCACTATCCAAAATTAGTTACAAACTGCATTTTAGAAGTTGATTTTGCACACTGGACTTTACAAGTTGTTGTGGTTTAAGCCCAACTGGTAACTCAGAACCATGCAGCTGCTCGCTCACTCCCCCCTTCTTCCCTCCCTGCTCCCGGAGGGATGGGCAAGAGAATCAAAAGAATGTAACTCCTCTGGGTTGAGATAAGAAGAGTCCAGTAACTAAGGTATAATACAAACCACTACTGCTACCAGCAGTTATAATGATGATAGTAATGATAAGGGTAATAACAAGGGCAGAGGACACAATTGCTCACCACCCGCTGACCAATACCCAGCCCGACCAGCAGCGATCTGGGCCTGCCGGGTGACCCCCCAGTTTCTATACTGGGCATGACGTGCTGTGGTATGGAATACCCTTTAGGCCAGTTTGGGTCAGGTGTCCTGTCTCTGGTCCCTCCCGGCTTCCCGTGCCCCTACTCCCTTGGCAGAGCAGGAGAGACAGAGAAGTCCTTGATTGGAGTAAACATCACTTAGCAACTGCTAAAAACATCAGTGTGTTATCAGCACTGTTCTCGGACTAAAGTCAAAAACACAGTACTGCACCAGCTACTAACAAGGAGAAGACTGCTACAACTGAACTATGGACACAAGTACACAAAGCTAGTTGGCAGTTAAAATCTTTACATTCATATGACTGTTTTGGACTCTAATATAATTTTAGGTTCAGATGTCAAAAACTGTAAGTTCATGTGTGCAAAGTAGCATCACAGTTTAGCAGTAAGTGTAAACACTTCTGAGTAATCTCAATATTACCTTGGATTAGCCAAATATGCAGGATTCTCTAGGCCTATATAAAGTATGATTTATTTTTAATTACTCATTACTTGTGGTAGGAAATACAGAATCTTTAAGGTGGGTTGTTTTGTTGGTTTTTTTTCTTCAAGTGCCTGCCACAATATAGGAGAGAATAATTCATAGTTTTCAGTAAGAATAGTACAGCTATTTTCTGTACCATTTCCTGGCAAAATTTGACAGCTCAATGACAAGTTTTGCTTAAAGCTATTGAGATTTAATCATAATACATGACCTAAGCTTCTGGTCTGAGAAATGTGTCATTTACTCAACTATTGTATTTGGCAGAAATTGGTAATAGAATATGGAAAAAAAATAATTAAGATAGAATTCCAGAATTAATTTGAACTTTTGTAAAATATGTTTCTAATCATGGACCACATGGAAAATTAACAACCTGATGAAGAAACCCTACTGGGTATGTTGGTGCCTGCTCACATGCAATGTTACCTTCATCACTGCCAGTTACCTGTACATTTTTAGAAAAGTAGATTGTGCACACCTGTTTGATGGTAATGCTTTGTATTTCAGTGGCATTTTCTGTTGAAGGGTCTCAGATACTCTTCAAGCTTGTGAACACTGTAAACCAAAGCCTAGTGGTCCAGTCTAGTCTGTGTTGAACCGCTGAGGAAACTGAGGCAGTGGTGATCCAAGCGTGACATCTGAAGTCACATAGCAGAATAGGACAGAAACAAATGCAAATCTTGTTTCAGAAATGAGGCACTCAGTTTGTACGGGGCTTCTACAGAAAGCTAGTTCTTCAGCAGTTTTAATCTGATTATTCGGCTTAGTATCCTTTAAATCATCAGCACGTCTTTGGATGTATGAATGAAACTGTAAATAAAGACAATATTTAGTTAGTAGTAATACTGGGACGGGATCAGAATGGTCCAGCTGTTAATACTATCTTTCCTCTCTGCTTATCTTACTGCATCACTAAACTGATTAGTTCTGACATTGCCAGTGTTTGCACCATGAACGAAACTTCAATCATGGCAGTGCGTGTAGGCAGCTTGTAGGCAGCATGCTTGGTTGGTTTGATTTTGTTTTCCATTTTGTTTTGTTTGGTTGGGTTTTTTTAATAGGAAATGAATTTTGCCCTCCCAAATTTTGGGGAAGAAAGGAATGCAAATATTTGCTGGGGGAAATAGGATGACTAAGCTGCCAATGAATTGCTTCAACCTGTGCTCTAAGTAAAGAAGGAATCAGTGAATTGTTGAATTCACTGATTGTTGAATTGTTGAATCTCTCTGCTTAGCTTTCACCACTACATAATAGTAGTGTTAAATAATTTATTGGGAATTTGGTACTTGCCCCATGAAGCACATCGTACACAGTAATCCTGAGGTGCAATTTGCACCATGTACTTTCTCAGAAGCAATGGTATGTGGTTAGATTGTTTAAATATATAGTATATAGTTGGGGGATGACTTTTCAGAAAATGGGACTCTATTATGGGATATCAAAGAAAAAGTCTGACTTCTGCTACTCAGAGATGGAGAATTGTATGGCTTTAAGATCTGGCATGTTTCTTTAAATTATGTGGATGCTGTATATACGAGATGATAAAAACAGTAAGAACAAACCACAGTTACTTTGCTGAAGATTCTAGGTCTTCCCGCAGAGGCTCCCTCAGTTTGGATACTTGCTGAATGATAACGTTCAAGCAAAAATCTTCCATTCCCTGGTTTTAATGATCATTAGCTGGCTCCTGCTGTATGGAGATAAAGTGAGAGAAGAAAACATTAACTTATTACCACTATTGCTTTTCAGACTTCTATTTTTTCCAAAAAGCTACCCCTAAATTTAGCCTCTGGAATGCTTTGTAACAGGACACATTCCATCAGAAACTATGACCCTTTAGAGCAGCTGCATTGAATATAGCCTCATTGAAATCCAGGAAGAATGCCAGAGGCAGACATCTGTTTCACATTCCTAGGCTCTGGGCAGAGCCTTCCAGGGGTGGCTGAACAGCATTCAGTCCTCTCAGCCTCCAAACGCTGCAGCAGGAGCTCCCCAGGGCAACTGCCTGCCTTGTGCACTCGGGTAACCTGCCGTGTTTGAGCTGCAGACCAACACGGTTCCACCACACTGCCCGGACCATGGCCTGCCCACAGTGTCCTGCTCCCTGGGAGGAGGCAGGCTCCTTCCCAGCAGCTCCTGTACTGCCATTGCTGCCTTGTAGAAGCAATCTGAAACATCTGAAGACTTCATTCCCCAATTTCATGAGTGGCAGGGAAGCAGCTCAGCTTGTACCCAAAGATGCAACTGAACTGTCTGGAAGAACTTCACACTTCAATGGCAGTATTTCTTGTGTTCCTTGGGTGGAGCAGTGTACCACATGCTGAGAATGGTTAGTTAAGAAAAGTTATTTCAGTCTTCTGACCATGCTTAAGATGGATGTGTTTACATCAGTACAATGCTTTGATAAAGATTGTCCTCTGGAGCTTTGGTTTATAAGCTACATGTTTTACAGGTTTTTTATTTTTGTATAGCTGCTAAAACATTTCCCTGCCTGTCAAGCAGATGACTATGCCACTTTCCCTTCCCCTTCTTTATGAAATGCACTGTTTAGCATAAATACACATTAAACACGTGTCAGAGTCAGCTTTTTTCCCTATAAAAAAGGGAATTTTATAGCAAAATCTTTCAGATGTTTCTATGGAAAAGTCATTGTCAACAAACAGAATAAAACCAGGGGAAGCTGAGGCTATTACCTGCATGTTTACATCTGCTCCAGTTGGCAGCAACATATAAAACTTTTTTCATTCCACAAAATGCTAAAAATATGCAAGATTTTTACAAAGAGCAGAGCTTCCTCTGTTTGTTCAACACACTTCAGTAGTTGTAGGAGACATGCTATTAAGCTGCCTACATACTACTATCAATTCATACTTTTCTTCCTTCATGTCCTAACTGTGAAGAACTTTGCATCCTTTTTACCTCCATTCCTTAGCTTTCCTTCATGAATCAAAGGAGCAGTGTCTGCAGTGATAAAAACATCCTGGTTGGTTGGATGGTTAGAAACCCTGCTCTCTCAGCTCAGTTCCACACACTCATCAGGATCACTGAGTAACTAGCTAGGTATCTCATCAGTTTTGATGCTCTTCAACATCTTGTTGCAGCACAAGCAAGCTTCAGATGCAAAGGCTGTCCTCAACACAGAAGTGAAAAGAGTCTGCCGTGCCTGCCATTAGCTCAGTTTCCAGTACAGGGCTGGAGGGACGGAACACGGCAGCGATTCATTTCCAGCAAGCCTATGGAATAAATATAACATGGAAATGGCGAGCAGCTGCTGCCTGGGAGCTTTGGGAAGGCACAGACAAGAGAAAAGGAAATAGCAGGGGCATACAACACCTCACGGTGCTGCTACTAGCAACGTGGAGAACAGGAAGCTTCTGTGATGCTGGAGGCTTTATCCTCCAAATTACAGAGGAAATGATGAACTCCCATTACCTTATGCTACACATGTGTCACCCCTCTGGTTTCCTGTTCCCTACAAACTGGTTGCCTGAAGGGGAGATTCCCATGTGGGGCCTGTAGCCAAGGCATGGCCATGGCACGGACCTCTCTGCCTTCTCTTGTTGGGCTGTTAACGCAGCCCATCCAGTTAGTACCCTTGCGCTGCTTTGGTAGCAAGAACCCTTTGGTGTCCCACTGCAGGTAAGTCACAAACAGAAGGATCAGGAGGACAAGTATCTATGTAAAACTAACACTTTAAGTTGGCATAAGGAGATGCACACCTTGCCAGATTGTAAGTGCAGTGGCCAAAAAGTGTGGGCAGCAGCTGTGTCCGTGCTGAGCCAAGCAGGAAGACCCAAGCAACTGGCAAGTCATCACTGCCAAACTCTGCTGGACGTGATCCTCCCCATTATTTTGCTGTAACTATGAGATGATGGTTTATCAT